AATAATGAAATAAAATCATATAAAACTAAGATTATGGCTAGAAGAAAACCATATTACCAAGTTACAGTAGTAAGTGTTAGTGCCAAATACTTTAGAGTTCATTTTTTCGGGTTTTTATCAGAAGTTAAAAAGATTTTAGTTTGGGCTTCCGTGACATTTTCAAGTTCCATCCTCACCTGGAATGTAAATTAGTGTTACGACCTTCAACAAAAAAACCAACCAAACAAACCCAGGAAGCACTAGAGAAACAGCTGAGGGTAAAATGATAATGCAAGTCTGGCAACACAGCCACCTTACCCTCCAACGGGATCAAAAGAAACACAGCATTTTAACTTAGAGAGGACCGTCCAAAGGTTGACTGCCAAAACAACCCCAACAGTTCTTAAGAGCTTGTTTGTAGCCTGAAGTGATAAACTACCATCTGCAGAGGTCAGGCAGCTTTCATACCTGAAGCTGCCAAGGACTCAGTTAAAGTTCCAGCCCAAAGTAAAAATGTAACTGACAGAAATGCAGAATTTTACTCCTGACCAAGATGTGTTAAAAAGTCCAAACAAATTTCCTAAATCAAAGTTGATGAAAATTAAAAGTATGAAAGAAATCCTAACAGATCCATGACTCCTGAACAGAAAGAACAAAAAATCCATAGTACTACATAAAATGAAAACATTCATTCTAGAATAAAAAAAGACGTGAGAAAAAGCTTTTAGGAACAAACAATTCCAACATGCATGACCTGGACATAACTTCTTTTTTAGCATTTCTTTTGTTCTCATTTATGAAACCTTAGGGGCCAGCGAGCACTGTAAAGGAACAGGTTCTGCATAACATGCCGTTCCTTTGAAGTGCAAGAGGCCACTCCATAGTTACAGATAGCATTTTTTATACTATATTTAGATGTAAGAAGCCCGGAAAACAAGATAATGGGGATGTTTTTCTGTCAAAGGAAAATAAAGCAACAGTCAAAGAAAATTATCAGTGTAGTAGACACTGATTTTTGAGCGCAATAATAACCCCGCACGCACTCATTTCCTGCAAGAAGTGGGAAGCAGCTCTCCCCCGCTCCTGTTAAGCAATAACCTTGCATTACATTGTGCTCTCCCTGCCCTGGAGAGCAACACCCTGCCTCCCTCAGCTCCGCACCGCTCCCTCACCTGCGCGGGCTCTAATTAACCTGTGGCTGCCACTCTCCGGAGCCGCGGAGCCCCGGCAGGGCAGGGATGCGCTGCCCGTCCCCTCACACACACCGCGCAGCCAGGCCCGCCGCCGGCCGGCCCCGGTGCGCCCGCCCGGACACGGAGCCTCTCCCGCCGCCCTCCCCCAGCACCTGCCGGCGCACAGCGGAGCCGGCCGCCTCGGGGCGCGCTGGGATCCGCCGGCGGCGGGCGGGGGGGACGCGCCGCTTCCGGTGCGGCGCCGGCCCCGCCCCGGCCCGCGTCACCGGGCACGGGCAGCGGCGGGAGGCCGCGTCCGGTCACGTGCGGGAAAGCCGGGATGCGCCGGCCGGGAATGCGCCCCAGTGCGCCTCGCGGAGCTCTACTACTTCGAGGCCGAGAGAAGAGACCGATACATCTATTTTATACATATATCTATCTCTACCTCAATATATTCTAATATTTATGTTTATATGTATATATTTATTTGTATATATATATTTAAAATAGATACATAAGAGAGTCCAAAGCCTTGGGATATATATACATACATACATACATATATATATATATATATATATATATATATATACACATGATGATGTGGGAGATGCTTTTCTCAGGTTCTCAGAAAGTGCCCTCACTCAAATTTAACTTAATAATATTAATAGTATAAGTCTCATCTCTGAGACTTACAATAATGTTGTTTATAGTATTTTTATATTGTCTAAGTCTCATATATTATAAGAGACTTATACTACTACTATTATTTATATAAATATAAATATATTATAAATTTCCCAACTATTAAATGTTAAAAAGATAAATTACTTATCGGTAGAATTGCCTTGTTAAAGTTTAGGGCTTGACATGCCTCAGTGACCTAGGAGGAGGTTAACACAGCTTGGTTAGAAGGGTGTGCTCCTGATAGTGGACACAAAGAATGCAGACTTTGTGGGCCACAAATACATTTGGCAGAATTCCCAAGATAAGGAAGAAACTGACAAAGTCTGCTCATCAACTCCACTGGAATCAGCTCCAACTGGGTAAAAAGTAATTCAGGCAGGGGGGAGCTCTGGTCACTGACTTACGGCCCAAGAAACCCACTGGCTCAAGAGAAGAGGGAGACTGTGCAGGCTAATCAGCACGAGAAGTGAGGAAATCATTGACCAATAGAAGACTAATTAATGAAAGAACTATGTAATTTATAGCCAATGAACATTAATGCCTTTGTTTGCTAAAGTACGTAAATGGTAAGATTTGATGGTCATCATGCTGGCTTTGTGGAATCATGTGGCATGTGTTGGCTGCCCAACACATCTTTCTGCACAGAATTGTAAATAATCAAATATCTCAATTCTCTGTGTGGATTGGCCTCTTGCTCACTGGGTGAAAGAAACTATTTTGGGACAACACATACAGCTAATGAACAAAGTAAAGAGCAAGGTATCAGAAGTGATGTAAAGCATTTTTTTTTCCTAATTGTAAAAATCTTAAAAAGAGAAAATGGTACCTAGTATCATTTATTTAAAATTACCCTATTGCATTAACAAAAAAATATAAAAAATAACTCTACTATGAAATGCAATAGGATCATTCAACAAATCTATGAAAACAATATAGCTCATTAAAATTATATTTTTTACAGCAATTTGAAAATAAACATTATATTTTTATCAGACTGTTTTCATTTAATCTCTTTCAGAATTTTATTGTGAGAGGATATGCTTTGGTTAATCAGAGAGGAACTATAATTTTAGGTACAAATGCCAACAAAGTAAATACTAACACAGGATAATCACAGGGATGAAATCTTGATCAGCACAACTAATTCAGTTAGCAAGGATATGTTTCTGTGAGGCAGAACTTACAAGGTACTTTAGGAAGAGAGAGATGATCCATGTACTTTACAAGAAAGTAATTTCATTCACTGAAATAAGCACCAAAATCCAGGCTGAACATCCACCCTAAAAGCTATATTCATTTACAAGATTACTTGAGTTCAGCTGATTTTGTGTCATAATTGGCTGAAGTGAGAAATGAATGAGAAAATGAAAATAGAACTAGTCTTTAGCTGTGTGCCTGCTGAACTATAAAGCTGGGCTTTGGGCAGCCCTGGCATGCAGCCTGTGCTTCCCCTTGGACGCAGCTTCCCTGAAGAGAAAAAGCACAAGAGAACAAATTGTATATACTGCCAGAAGACACTTTTGAGGAAGCCATATGATATAATGTTACTACTTGTACACTTAAATGATTTTTAAATATTGAAAATTTGAATTTATGCTTTTTGAAGTGCTGTATAGTTGTAGGTTCTAAAGCGACATACATAGTAATGTATCTTCAACTCCTTCCACGTGGATGTACTTTTATTGTGTTACATTGTTGCCTGTGCCTTGCAATTCTGTAAAATGCATCAAGTACTTCAAATTACCTTGTAATTTTATGTTGTAAAAACTACATGGTTATTTACACATGTAACCATTTGTTATTATCTATTCTGCTTTAAAACATGTAAGCAGGTGACAGAATCCAAAGCTATTGTACTTCGGAATTACAAGGCAACTTTTGTTGTTGCCTATCAAGCAGCGTTAACCAGTGGGTGTCGCAATTATGGGCAGGATGGAGATCGTGTTTCATTCCATAGCAAGTTCCGGCATGCAGAAGCACAAAGCACTCATACTTTTGTGTGATGACAGAATGACAATAAAACAGATGTTCTCCGGGTTCCATGCTATCAGCTGGGGGGTGACCTCACCTTATCAGCAACACCAAACTCCCTCAAGGGCAGAGAGGCCTTGCAGAGAAACCCAGACAAATTATAGCTGTGCAATCACCAGCTATATGACATTTAACAAGGGTGGGTGCTCAATTCTGCACCTGGGATGGGAGAACCCTGGATGTATGGAGAGACTGGGGGACAGGAGGCTGGAGAGCAGTGCCATGGAAAGGGACCCAGGGGTCAATGGCAAGTTGAGCATGTGCCAGCAGTGCCCTGGCAGCCAGGAGGGCCAGCCCTGTCCTGGGGACATCAGGCACAGCATGGCCAGCTGGGCAAGAGAGGGGATTGTCCTGCTCTGCTCTGAGCTGGGGCAGCCTCCCTCCAGTGCTGGGGGCAGTTTTGGGTGCCACAGTAGAAAAAAGACATAAAACTATTGGAAAGCATCCAAAGTGGGGCCACTTGGATGGGGTGAAGGGCCTTGAGGGGAAGCCATGTGAGGAGTGGCTGAGGTCACTTGGTCTGTTCAGCCTGGAGAGGAGGAGACTGAGAAAAGACCTTATCAAGGTTCTACAGGTTCCTCATGAGGGACAGGCACTGATCTCTTCTCTCTGGTGACCAGCGACAGGACCCAAGGGAATGGCCTGAAGCTGTACCAGGGGAGGCTTAAGTTGGATATCAGAAAAAAGTTCTTCACCAGAGGGTGGTCAGGCACTGAACAGGCTCCCCAGGGAAGTGCTCACAGCACCAACCCTGACACAGTTCAAGCATTTGGAAAACACTCTAAGACATGGGGTGTAATACTTGGGGCTGTCCTGTGTAGGGCCAGGAGCTGGGCTTCGATGATCCTTGTGGGCCTCTTCCAAATCAGAATATTCCGTGATTCTGCGGGATTCTGTGTGTTTCCCCTGACTCGGCTGCCCCACGGAGCGGTGCCACCATGGCAGGGCACACCCCCGGCCCCGCTGCCCCGTTCCAGCCCCGCTGCCCCGGCCCCTTTGGCCCGTTCCGGCCCCTCTGTCCCAGTCCCCTCGCCCCGTTCGGGCCCCGCTCCAGCCCGTGACGCCACCGCGGCGCGCGGCTGCTCTGGAAACGCGTTTCCCTCCGCGCGCGGGATTGTGGGAGTCCGGGAAGGGGCCGCCGGGGGAAGAAGATGGCGGCGCATGGAAAAGCCCGGGCAAGTGGTGGCAGTGGAGAGGAGGAGCGGGGATCTGGGGGCTCGGAGTCGGAGCTGGAGCTGTTGCTGCTGCACCCGGAGCTGCTCTCGGAGGAATTCCTGCGGCTCACCCTGGAGCAGGTGCGTCCGGGGAGCCGGGCCGGGCGGAGCGGCGGCCCCTGAGGCGGGGCGAAGAGAGTCACGGTGCTCAGGGAAGAGCAGGCACCAAGTCGGTGCTCTGGACACCACGAACTTGCAGAGAGGAGGCTCTGGCGCGGGAGATGTCTCCGTGTTTGCAAAGGGGCTGTGCTTGAACACCGAGGCTGCTAAAAAGCAATTTGCCCAAATGGAGACAGTGTCTGCATACAGTAAAACTGGCTGTGGAAGGATGAGCTTTACACTGTTAAAGTTGCCACGTCCATAGCCAGGTGACCCTGCCTTGGCAGGTCGGTCGGACTAGATCATCTCCGGAGATCCCTTCCAACCCTAATAGTTCTGTGAGTTAAAGAAATGTAGCCTCTGTAATCAGTCAAGCTAATGCTTTAATGCATAAGTACTGATATTTGATAGTTGGAAAATAATTGAGTTTGAAAGGGACTTCTGAACAGTTTAGGACCATGAAAAGCTTTAGTTGATGTTGTTTGGAATACCAGTTACTGCCTTGGCTGAAAATGAAACAATAGTAATGAAAGTTTCAGGGCTTTGTATAAGCTTAAAGAATTTTCATATGCTTTTGTCCATGCAGCCTGTGTGGATAGGTTTCAGACCAGCATCAGAAGTCACGAAGTGTTGCCAGAACCAGTAGTGGCAGAGGCTTGACCTGCTCTCAGTGACCTCGATTTGTAGGATGTTAGTGGAGTTTTTTTCTCACCCCATAAATTTGGCATGAGGTACCAAGAAATGTTCACGACCCAGTACACGATTAGAAAGAAAACTGGTGTTCTAACTGGTGGTTCCTAGAATCACTGAATAGTTAGGGTTGGAAGGGACCTCTGGAGATCATCTTGTCCAACCCCCGGCAAAGGAGAGTCACCTAGAGCAGGTGACACAGAAACACATCCAGGTGGGGTTTGAATGTCTCCAGAGAGGGAGAGTCCACGACGTCCCTGGGGAGCTTGTTCCATCTTTAAGGAAGTTCTTCCTCATGTCGGGATAAAACTTATCTCCATTATTCTTTGGGAACTGGGGAAGATAGCACTGTTCTACATCTATAAGTTTGACTTGCATTGCATTCTAGTTGTCTGTTTTCTAGAAATGTGAAAAAGAGCTCTGGTATTGTAGTTGGATTCAGGGAAGCGTGTTTAAGAGTGCATGAAAACATCAGCCATCAACAGTATGTCTATCATAATTTTTCCCTTTTTTGGCTACCTTTTTCCTTGGGAAAACTTGCAGTAATTTCAGTGGAGAGGGGCTGCAAGGTTGACCTGTGTGAGCAAAGGTGAATAACTGCTCAGTGCTGGTCACAGCTGGGTCCATGTCTCTCACACTGTTGAAGAAAGCAGCCCATCACACCCCAGAATTTGAAGCAGAGTTGCTCATGGCACCTGTGCTCAAATGCACTCAAAGAGCAGCAGACACTGGGGGCAGGAGACTCCAGAGGACACACTGGAAGAGGCAGGTGAGGAGACATGAGAAGAAATGCACTTGCAGGTGGTGGAAAAAGAAACCACTGTGCACTGACCAAAACATCCTGTGTTTCTCATTGCTTCACTGGAGGGACAGGCTGAGTGTAATCCACACAGAAAGTGAAGGAAGTTGACAGTAGGAAGGTAGGAGACCAGGCTGTTGGCACTGAACAGTTCATGGCCTCTCCAAACTGATCATCCCGGTCACCCCTTTACTTCTGGAACCCTGGCCCAATACAATACTTCACAGCGGATTTTGAAATAAGAAATTCTGCCACTCAGATGGTTGAATGTTGGATTGCATAAAAATAACAGCTCTTTTCCTCTTCCCCACAGAAAAATATATTAGGTGAAAATGATGTGAAGATGGACAAAGATGGGCTCACTGATCTCTATATTCAACATGCCATTCCCCTGCCTCAGCGTGACTTGCCAAAAAGTAGATGGGGGAGAATGATGGAAAAGAAGAGACAGCAAAATGACTTCAAAAGTGAGAAGAAAAGGTAATTTAGCTTTATTGGGCCACACTTGGACAATTTAGGACAATGCATTTAGTTTAATCTTTGCCTGATTAGTGAAGCTTGTACAGCTTTTAGATATTGTTACAGTTTACAGAGAACACCGTGTTGGCTTGCCTGTGTCAGAAGTGTTAGATTCTACTGCTGCAAAAATAGAGAAAAGGGGAGGGTAATTTTTTTTTTCTTTTGCCATTTAATTGTTGTTAATGCTATCTGGCATATAGGGCTTCTTTTCACAGATCTGTCTTCCTTGTACTTCCCCTTTAAGTACTGAAAGGCTGCAGTAAGGTCTTCCTGGAGCCTTCTCTTCTGCAGGATGAGCAGCCTCCACTCTCTTAAGCCTTTCCTTATATCATTTTATGACCCTCCTCTGGAGCTGCTCCATGTCCTTCCTGCAGAGGCTCCAGATCTGGATACAGCACCCCAGGTGAGCAGAGTAAGGGGTGCAGAATCACTTCCCTTGACCTGCTGGCCACGCTACTTTGGACATGTTTGTCTTTCTGGGCTGCAAGCACACGTTGCTGACTCGTGTCTAGCCTCTCATCCACCAGTATTCCCAAGTCCTTCTCAGCAGGGCTACTCTGAATCCCTTCACCCCCAGTCTGTATTGGTTCAGAGAGTTGGTATTGTTCCTCCATCCCCCAGTGTGTGTTGATAAAGGAGGAGAAAGGAAATATTTTTTGTTTCACTGCATAATTACTAATTAATAATCATGTTTGCAGTGTTTAAGGAAAGTGCTAAAAGCATATTTAACTATGCTTTCTTCTGTACAGGGGTGACCTACTCTATCTAGAGCGAGGGGTGCATGCTGCAGAAATTTTGTGTGTCTGTTTCAAAAATAACATTTGCTTTCTGAAATAAATATTCTGTCTTGTTTTAAAAATCTTTCTCTTTGTATTTGCTCAGAAAGCAAAATCTTCTTCAAAAGTTTGTTTGACTGAATCTCTTCACCCAACTTTCCACCTGCCCAAGACTTTGACATGTGATATGCATGAGTGGTATTCTGATATGTTCAGCAGTAAATCCTAAGGAAAGGTGGATGGAAATTCCTGTAGTTTTTCAGTATTACAGCTTGTTGATGTCTTGAGTCTCTTCTAGCTTTGCTGAGGTTTCTAACTGTGAAGGGCTAAACAAATTCCGTCAAGTGATTTGGGGTTTTTTAGATGTTTTTTCAGTTTTTAGGTGCTTTTTAAAATTCTAGCAGTGGCTAAAACACTGAGCTGTCTTTTGTCCGGTTTATTTTCCATGTGCATAAGAGGTTAGAGTACCTCAGTTTGTTTCCATCTGTGGACTTGAGGATGGAAGCGTGAGGTTAGTGTTTGGGTAGTGTTAGTGTGCTGAAATAGGTGCAAAAGAACTTTTTATCAAAACTGAAAACTGAAGTTTTTAAGCAGGAATATTATATTCTCTTAATGGTGGTTTGGGTTTTTTATTTGTTAAATCAGCACTTTCCAAACACTTTCTCTTTGTCATTCTTGACTATTGCATTTTTAAAACTCAGAATCCATATAGTGTGAGTTATGGTTTTACTTCGTTGTTTTTCTCAGTCAAGATGTTTTCTGATAATACTGTTTTGATATTAGCTTGATAATTTTCCTTTTAATGAATCAGTGGTTACTAAAATGGCCTGCTCTGACTACACATAGGCTTAAAGGCACAAACTATTAAAAAATGTCATTAAATTCACTTAGGGTTCCTGTACAAAGAATACTTATTTTAAAAAGGTATGGGTTTTTTGATTCGTGTTTTTATTCCTTAGCTAACTGTCTTTTGGACTTACCTTAACATTATGATTATGAATAAGAGTGGAAACAGGGAAATTTAGAAGTGTTAGAATATGAGATGCTGTTCCCTGCAGGTAAGGCAGCACACCCTTTCTTATATACTCATCTTTTGAAATACTTCACACTTATTATCTCTGTAGTTACTCTAGAGTAACTGCAGTGGTAAAAGCATAGTGCCTTTGGTGTACAGCTATAATTGTCTGCTTAGACAGTTCCTCACACAACTCGTCTTGCTGAGGAGCACTGGTCCTCACACAACCCCCTGCGCCTTTATATTTTGGAAGTGACTTCTATTGCTTTTTATTTTTATTTAAGTATATGTAAGTGTATATAAGTATATTTATTTTTATTTAAGTTTGGAGCATCTGAGAGTTTCATATTAATATTTTGGGATATATGTCTTCTTCAGGGAGGATAAAATTAATTGTCACTACTAGTATATGTAAGTGTATATAAGTATATTTATTTTTATTTAAGTTTGGAGCATATGAGCATATCATGAGCATGTCATGGATATGCTATTTTTTGATAATCTAACCTACATTTCTGTGAATTTTATGATCCTATGTTTCTGTGAATTTTATGATTTGTATTTTCAGTGTTACAACAGTGGAAGGTTTAAGGAAACGGCCATTGATTGTATTTGATGGCAATTCGACAAGTACAAGCATAAAGGTGAAAAAGACGGAGAACGGAGCTGCTGATCGCCTGAAGCCTCCTCCAGCTGGAAGCACCACCAACACAGTTAGGAGATTGTCAGTTCCTTCAAATGCCTCCACATACCTTTCAGCATCCAGTTTGTCAGAGGACGCTAAGCTGGGAATAAGGAATAATGAGGCTCAGCAGAACAATATTACAAAGACTGACAGCAGTGTGTTGACTGGTCTGAAGGTTTGCCCTTTGTCTCCAATAGCAGGAACTACTGTTGTGAAGTTAAAGAGGTCTGTTCCAAAAGAGGAATCAGATTTGCCGGTATGTTTGTGCAGTATCTTGTTTTGCAGCTTTTTTTTTTTTTTTTTCTTAATTGAGATTTAAAGGAGACAAAGTTAGAGCCTTGCAAGAGTTTTCAGGTTGATTTTCTTTTGGAGTAATGGTAGAGTATTTAGAAACAGTGAGTACTAGTAAAGTTTAGCTAGTTTGGGAAATACTAGAATGAAGGAAGTTTTTACTTGTCAGTAGGAAGCTTCTGTGTAGGTAATGGTGCTGAGTGTAGCTGCCAGATGGGGACAAAGAACAGTCGTTAGTTTTGGGAATGGTGTGATTACAGGGCTTGTCAATCAGCAGGGAGCAATGGGCTATCTCTTAAAAACATGCCACAATACAGACAGAGGTCTTAACACTTGTGTTGCATTCCTTCATGATACAAATAAAGAAGTTTTCACATTTCCACTGGAATACGGGAATATCTGGAATAAATCTGGGTTTTAACGGAAGAGATAGAAATATCTGTTCTCAGTTGAACTGCAGGGGGAGCTTTAGATATACAGTGTGCAGTTACATTGATTAGAATTTTTCTAAGACACGACACTGAACTTTGTTTTCTCAATATTGCCTCATGAGATGCAATAAAACATTCATATTAATAATAATATATAAAAGTATTAACATATTTTTTAAAAGTCCTTTAATGAAAGAATGTAGGTAATATTCTGCTGCATGGATTGGTATGTTCCATCAGACTTCTGTTAAACATGAGTACCAAAACATATGGCTGTTGTGAAAGACAGCTTTAGCAGCTTTTAAAAGATCCATGGCTGAGGCTCTGAATGGAATTTATGCTTGAGAGGTGTGTTTCCTACTACCAGTAGGAACTTAATAACTTCTTTCAGTATTTAGAACTGTTCCAAGTATTGGTCAGATCTGAATCTACAGAGCTTTTGAAACTTGTTTGGTATACATCTCACAGCTTCTTTGTATTTGGTTTAAATGTCCTGTAGACACAGTGATGACATTTTTAAGCATCCCTGTATGACTGACACTCAGAAGCTATGACCTCTGACATTTGACTTTCTATGTTAGCCACAGTTTAGGTTGTTCCAGTTAATACCTGTCAGTTCAGTCATGCCTTGGTTGATGCTGGTCAGAGGTGTGAAGTTAGGCATGTGTGTTCTATGGATGTTACTCTACCATCTGAAATTAAAAGAATGTGCTATTGAATAGAAAGTGAAGCTGTCAGGAAGAATCAGTGTACTTGGCAGATGTCTGTAAAGCCTGATCTATTTTTAGTGTAATGACAGTAAAGGCAATTATGTCTCCAAGCAAGTGACTGTTCCTTGATGTTCAAGAAAAATTTAATGAATAGCACAGAACTATCCATATTGTCTTTGGGTCTAATTCCCTTAAACCTTTCAGTGGTTGCAGTCCACAGGATTCCTGTAAATAAACTGACACTGAAAGTCTTTTAAAGAGAAGAGCGATCTCTAGATTGTACTCCCTGAACCAGTGTGTTGCAGTATGTTCTTGAAAACTCATATACCTGCCTTTACTCTGCTTATATGAGCTATTAAAGCTCTAATTTCTCAGAATTTTTATTATTATTATTTTAGATGATGAAAGGGAATTATTTTACCACTTCATGTGCTATTGCTTTGCTTTGGGCTTTCTTGATTTTTACAGGTTTCTTTGGGCAGGGGGACTTGAAAGATTAGTTCATCTGAGGCTTTGGCAGTTATTTATCTTCTTTTTATCCAGGTCATTACAAAGGAAGACCAAATTTTCTGTTTCTTTTTTTCATGTTTTTTACTATTTGACAAAAGTAAATTGGTTTTCTAGTTGTATATTTGGGGAATTTTTCTTATACAATTCCATTTCAACAAGTATTTTAAGAAGACAACCTGAAATAACTTCAGAAGTATGTTTTGAAGCTCCAATATGTACCTGTTTCTAAGTGGCATAACTGAAAGCAATTTTTGAATATTTAAGAATATTTATTTGTAGGTTGCTGAAAACCAAAACACATGTATGATTTGCAGGTAGTTAAATTCATTGGCTCTATTTTTATCTTCACCAGAGAAGTTCTGTGATATTTAGCTTTCTCCACAAGATGGCAATAGAAAGCTGTTGGAGTAGCCTGTAGCTGAATACTGTGATAGTACCACATTGAAATATGCCAGATTAATGACTGACTCCTGTTTGCACAATATCTCTAAGAATAATTGTATATTTTCTTATATTCCAGAATGACCTAAAGCCTTCAGAAGCAAAGAAGAAAATCCAGCATGTTACATGGCCATGAAGTAGCTAATGGTGCTCGAAACCTAAATATTACTTCCATATTTTCAAATAGATAGACCATATTTAAACAGTTTAAATAAAATTATTTTAAAATTTACAGACTTACAGAGATTCAGATTGCTGTGAAGTTTTAACAAGTTTAACAGCTCCCTGTTGTAAAGCTGGAGTCACTATCACCAGTCACCTTAAAAGTATCCACTCTTGTACACCGAGTAGTTAATTACTTCTTTAAAAGGTGGTGATATTACACTATACTAAACCCTCTGCTCTTAGTTTTCAAGATTATTATAGTTCATCTCCTCCATGTCACTGTGATTCACACATTGTTTCGCTAAGATTCAGTTTTATTCCACATCTGATTAAATAGTTTAAATAGCTATTGAAATTTAGAGTGATCCCTAGAGCCTTCTTGGCTTTAAAAAGGTAATTAATTTAGGTGAGAAAACTGACCATTCTGCTGATAGGATAGTCTACAAAAATTTTTTTTCCTTTTTGTTGCACAGGAGTGTAGAATTTGCAGTGCAAGTTAGGTTGGTAATAAGAGATGAACTATTTTAACAGCATTACTTCAAATTGAAGTTTCTCTTGATATATGAAACAAGGAATGCACAGATGGAAATACGTGACTAGACTGATAACGGAACTTCGAGAGGAAGTAGTGAATGGATTAGTGCCATGTTCTATTAAGTACACAGGCATATTTTTTACATACATAAGTGTAAAAATGTGCCAGTGTAGGAAATTTGCTTGTTTTCCTGGTTACAATCATGCTTATTTATAAAATATGGAGAAAACCAATGGAATGCAGACCTGTGCTTTCTCAGCCTACAGACAGTTGAAGAAGGATGTGGATAGGAAGACAGAAGTACCTTGAGAGCATTAACACTTGTAATTGCACTCTAGAAAAAAACCCCACAAACCTGTTTTCCCTTCTTTTGATAATTTAAGATGGATTTTGGTTTTCTGTGAAATTTGGTGTTTTATCTGGGTTATTGGTAGTGCCTCACAGGGCAAAAAGGATTTTGGTTTTCTGTGCAATTTGGTGTTTTATCTGGGTTATTGGTAGTGCCTCACAGGGCAAAAATCCAATTGAGTTGATGGAAACATTTTTATTAAAACTCATTGATTCAGGGTGAAGGCAGTTTAGATCAGTTTTAGGTACAGATGGTAAATAAGAATAATAACAATGTCCCAGACTTGGTAAAACAAGAAGAATCAACTTCTGAATCCACTTAGTTAACCCAGTAAAAGAAGTTTGGTAGTGATCAGAAAGCTTGTTTACATTTTTAACACTGGTTTATATTGAAACCAAAAACTGTAGCTTAGTTCTTTACTTTACAGAAGTTCTCCATTCACTGTTATGATGTAAAAGGCACTTCTCGAATGCTGTAAAATGGTAAGAATGTGTGTTTTGAAATGGTGTGCTCTTTCCCTTTTACTAAACACTTGTGCAGTTTTTGTACTTGAGTACAGCAAACTTTAACGTAATGTACGTTTTTTTATGTAAAGACTTGTCTTTTAAGTAGCCTTATCCTATTTAAATAAATTAAATTAAAAGCAAACTAAACAGTGCTGCCTTGTTTTTGTGGTGTAATTAAGCTTATTCATTTTATACAGTTGTATTTCAGTGGACTTGACGTAATCAGCATTTTAAGGGTAAAAGGGTCAGTAGCTGCTTTGCAGCTGTTAGTGCTGGTCACATGAAGTGCTGGTTTTTGCACTTGTGTAACTGTTTGATGGGAATTCTGTTTTGTGGCTGGCTTCCTGTCAGTGGTCTAGAGTCTAGGATGTATTTTGTGTAGTTCCAGTTGCTAGGAGCATGTGTGTGTTGGGATATGCAGAAGAGGAGGGATATGCAGAACTGCACTGGAACAACAGCATCATGCTGCTCTTGCATGGTAGCAGTCCTGTTTCCAGGCTGGGGTGCTTTCCAGCCTTGCATGTTTCACCTACCTTTCCCCAAAGCTGGGGCCATTTTGCTATCTGTTGTACCCCTTGGGAGGCAAGGTGCAAGCTTGTGCTGCTCCCACTGCCTTCTTAGAATCATCAAGGTTGGGAAAAACTTCCGAGATCATCAAGTCCAACCTTCTACTGAATTCCACGTGCACACTAAGTTGTATCACAAAACACCATGTCTGTGTGTTTTTTGAGCAATTCAAGGGATGGTTGGTGACTGTTCCACTGCTTTACCACATCCAGTCAAGAAAATTTTCCTAATAGGTGGCCTGAACTTCCCTGGTCAAAATTGGAGGCTGTTTCCCCTTGTCTTATCACAAGCTGCCTGAGAGAAGAGGCCAAGCCCCACCTTGCTATGATCTCCTTTCAGGCAGTTGTAGAGAGCAGTAAGGTCTCACCTCAGCCTTCTTTTCTCCAGGCTAAGCAACTCCCAGCTTCAGCCCCTTCCATTGCCCTTCAGCTCCATTGCCCTTCTCTGGACACACTCCAGCACCTCTGTCCTGCTTGTAGCGAGGGGCCTAAAACTGAGCACATGACTCAAGATGTGGCTTCTCATCGGTGCCAAGTACAGGGGCACTACCCCTTTGGCTCAAAGGAGTCTTTCTTCTCTCAGCAAAGTGCTAGAGCAGAGCTGCAGTGTGCTGAGGGATTGGCAGACCCCTGAGGAGAGAGTGAGGTGTTTGGCCTCCTTTCGGCAGCATGGATAAAGGGGGATTTTTGTCACTATTGCTACAGCTTTCATCAGAGAATGAAAACACCAAGGAGTAGAATTTAGTCATTCACTGAGTTCTGATTAGCACAGCGTGCACTTCAAAAATGTCAGTCTGCCAAGTTCTTCAAATGGTGTGCAATAAACTAAATCTGATCTGGTAACATCTATTTAGATGGTCGAATTAATGAGAGGGGAATGACCTGTGAGCACTTTGCACTTGGTACTAAGAGACAAACTCAAGAGTGGTGGCAGAAACTAGGAGCAAACTTTCCCTATCCAGTAGCACACAGAGTAAGTATATCCCTAAATCTTAATTTCACATCTGAACATTGCTGTTGGAGGTGTGACATATTTCTTTCCTCCTTTTTCTGAACACAAATGAATTCCATCTACTACAAGCAGGAAAGTGGAAGGTGGGGAATGGGGGAATACTGGGACTGTGCATCACATAACATGGCCAGATTTCTTGCAGATTGCTTTGGGAAAAGATTTATCTTCCTTTGTATTATTTCCTTTTCATGTTACTGTCCTGCCAGCATGCTGTTGCTGACAGTTGCTGCTGTGGTAAATGTAGCAGAAATTATGCTGCAACAAAGAGTATTATGTATCCCAATAGAGAACAAAATTATGCCCTACTATAGAAGTTAAACTTCTGACTTTCACAAAGATAGATAGATGTCTTTTGAGTTGTCTTGACCTCCTTGCTTGCTGAGAAGTAAAATATTTTGGGCTTGAGTTTAGAGCCTATGAACACATTTTTATCAGCTCCAGTCAGTACAGTGTATGTTTTCACACATTTGTTCATTTTTGCTGGTAGTTTTCCCACTGACTTCAATTAGTAAAAGACTATGTTGTACAGCAGGGCCCCTCTGAGAATTGACTAAACTTCACAACCCCAAAAATTGGGTGCAAAAAGGGTTGTGTTTGTATGCATTGTGTTTCTTCAGAATGTGAAAACATTTTTGTAAATATTATGTAAATACAATTAAGCCACAATCACAGTTTTGTTTTAAAGAATTTTATTTTGAAAAATACAATGTGCAGTGTAATGTCAACTAACTGTAATACTGACACTGTCGATCAGAACTTGTACTTCACACAATGATCAGCTAGACATGCAATAAAATATGTACCGGTCATGAAGCACTCCCACTTCCACTGTTTCATCATTATCTCTTTATGGCATGTCACAAATCCATGTACATTGAAACACACTCTACATTTGCAGTCTTTCTACAGACTTGACAGCACACACTTGTCACATAGCTCAAGAACACTGGGGTCACACCAGCCTTACTGGAATTGAATGACCTTTGCCATTGATTTCAGTGGGCAGAAGGCTTCACCTTGGATATCCACCTATTAATGTATTGTGTGTGGCCATTTTTATCCTTGAACTGCATCACTTGCTTGTAACTGGAATATTTTTTAGGAAAAAAAGTCTTAAAAATGGTATGTTATGTCAAAAACAGCCAAATAGTTTTACATCATGGGTTTTGCATGAGTTTTTGTTATTGGTAGAAATCTTAAACACCGACATTGCTATTAGAGATTCTCAAGCTGTTTTCCCTCCAGATTTGGAGAGTATAAAGAAAGGTTAAGAAATGTTAATAGTACAGTGAGACACATAGTGGCAAAGCTAGCTCTGAACATCCATGTGTTTCAGACTATATATTGTGAGCACGGCTCTCCTCCCTTCTTCCTCACCTCTTAGTTTGAGCTTTAAATATCCTTTCCACATTCAGGGCAAAGGATGTCATCCCTTTCTGTGAGGAAGCCACGACCCACCAGTGAAAGGGAGCACTTCTTACAGTTAAAGCAATCATTATGCCACTGCCGTTCTTCAAAAGAGATGTACTTGGTTCCTCCGAGTCCTGTTTGAAAAGGAAAATCTTTCTGTTACAAGAAAACAATAGCAGGTCAGCCATCAGGTCATGCAGACTGACATGGAGATCTGATACACAGCAGTGAAAAAATGGCATTGTGGCAAATCTGTTTGTTGCTGTGCTAATTTTGCCACCCTTATTCTGTAGTGACTAATGTTTTCATCCTCAAATACTTCTGTTGCTTTCAGCAAAGTTAATGAGCAAGGCTGTTATCCCTACTGATAATGGCAGAAATGAACTTCCAAGGGATGCATCAGAAGAAGAGCAAACCACCTGCCTCTGAACAGAATTCTGGTAGATTTTTAAGAATGGTGCCTGAGTATGTTAATTTATGTTTTGTAGAGGTGCATTTAGATAATTAAAAAAGAAGTCTGTCATGTGTCATGACTTGATTCATGGCTCTGAAGGAAGAACGCCTCAGGAAAAAAAGCAGGTTAGTAAAAAAGCATTCTAGAGTTTGAGGCTATGGCAGTTATCATCAGGTGAAGTTGTACAAAAGAGAAAAAAAAGGAAAAATGTCTCTTAGTAGTAATTGTCTTTTACTTAACCTCAAAAATGACTAGCTGAAGTTCCACGAAAATATTTAGTTGGGCATCTCTTCTACCAGGTCAGACGTTTTGTTTAGTTTCGCCTTTAGTAGCAACTCAGCACACAAACCAGCCACAAAATGTAAACACACCAGCCATGAGAGACCTACCACTGATTGGGTTTGTGCATCCAGCACACTTTTTGGCATAGAGGTTGCAGAAGCAGCTCAAGCAGTATGCAAACTCATCCCTGGAGGTAAAGCGCTGTCCAGACAACTGCTTCTTGCATGCAGTACACACGAAGCACTCCTTATGCCATGGCTGCTCCCGGTAGGTAACGCCTCCTGTGGTGATAGCCTGTTTCAGGAATTTAAAAAGACAAGAAAATGTTTTCTTAAGAGTGGCAAGTTTGTATTTTGATTTGGTAAAGAGGAAGGTTGGTGAGATTTTTGTGGGTGGGAGGAGGGGAAGAAGGCTTAGCAACAGCAAGATTATAATTTTGCTTGGAGTTGACTTTGAGAAAATCATGCAAGTGCTTTATTGTAATTTCCTTATTTATAAAAAGAACTCCCATGCTGAAAGTACTTTATTCTGCATATATATTGTAAAATATTACTCTCAATTGTACTCTGTTTTTCAAGCTACTCTTTGTATGTTGTTTTTCATATGCATGTACCAGAGTTTGTCTCATCACTGTTCCTTCACCTGTCCCTTTCTTCATGGTGGAGGAATTACTCGGTGTGTTTCAACTTCCCTGTTACTTTCTTTGGGAAAGACTGGTTTATTTCATATTTTAGATGAAGTATTTACTTTCTGCTTCTCCAGACTTTATTGGGGAGTTTTCTCTTAGAAGTAAGTGGAACTGAAATTATATAATCTCTTAAAACCAGTTAATTCTTAATCTTTTTACACATACAAAAATGAGATATTCTGCCTACTTGGATATAAAATTGGATGGACTTCAATCCCTTAAGTTTCACATAAGCAAAATAAGAGCACTACCTTCTTGCACTGGACGCATTGCATGGCAAACTGCTTTTCATAGCAGGGTACACAAAAGTTTTGATTGTCCTTAGGGATGAAGCTCTTTGTCCCAATAGGCTGTTGGCAGCGGTAGCAGATAAAGCAGGTCTCGTGCCAGCTGTTGCCCTTGTATTCCATCTTCCGAGTACCTGTAATGAGACCAGAGCATCAAGTGAACTTCTGGATGAGATGGATGCAGTTCGTAGCTCTGGTTTGCCTGGCAGCTGTCTGTCAGTCAAGAAGCATTGCAGCTGTGAGCTAGAGGCTATTTAATGTTCCTACCAGCTTTGCATGGCATTTGGTACCATTTTAGGTTTTTGGAGATCT